TTAAAGTCTATTAAAGCTCAAGGTAAGGAGAGAAGCTGTGCAGTTTGCTTAAATAAATTTACTTCCAGGCACAGTGACTCACACCTGTAATCCCATACTTTGGGAGGCCAAGGCAGGTGGATCACCTGAGGTTGAGAGTTCAAGACCAGCCTGGCCAACATGGTGAAATTCCATCTCTGCTAAAAATACAAAAATTAGCCTGGTGTGGTGGTGTACACCTGTAGTCCCAGCTACTCGGAAAGCTGAGGCAGGAGAATAGCTTGATCCCAAGAGGTCAAGTGAGCCAAGATTGTGCCACTAGATTCCAGCTTGAGCAACAGAGTGAGAATTCCTCTCAAAAATAAAATTAAATAAATAAATAAATGGATTCGTATCTCTAGGATAACACGACAATGATAGCATAGTGTCAAATGTTTGACCTTTGAGAAACTGTGAAGAAGGAAAAAATTGGGTAAGAATGTAGTATTCTATTTCACCTTCTAGTAATTTGTCTATTCATTCTTAAAAATACTACTTTAGCATTTTCTATATGTCAAGCACTATGCTAATAAGTGTTGTATGAAGTCTAAGAAATAAAGAACATGATTCCTGACCTCGTAAAACTTCATACTCTTGTTGGAAGTAAGAAACACACCAGAGCAATTACAGTTCAGTGTGATAAGTTCAAGAAGAGAACTTCAGAGCATTAGGCAGAAATGGAGAGAACTAAAGTCTTTAACTCTACTCATAGGGATGAGGAAAGATGTCAAAAAGAAAATGATACTTTATCGGAGTTTGATTTTTGTTGTTAATTCAAGAACAAGTAGCCTATTAAGCATGAATATGAGCAGGTACTTATAAAGGCACCTAATCATTTTTAAGTATTTTAATAATAAAGGAGAAAAATATATCAGGTGGTGTGCAAGAGTTGATTTTGTTTTGTTTTGTTTTGTTTTTTTGAGATGGAGTCCCACTTTGTAGCCTGTTGCCCAGGATGGAGTGCAGTGGCATGATCCTGGCTCACTGCAACCTCCACCTCCTGGGTTCAAGCAATTCTTTTGCCTCAGCCTCCCGAGTAGCAGGGATTACAGGCTCATGCCACTACACCCAGCTGTTTTTGTATTTTTAGTACAGATAAGGTTTCACCATCTTAGCCAGGCTGATGTCGAACTCCCAACCTCAGGTGATCCACCCGCCTCAGCCTCCCAAAGTGCAGGGAATTACAGGCATGAGCCACCGCACCCGGCCAAAAGTTGATTTCTAACTGATTATGTAACAAAGTACAAATAGCTTCAGTTGGAAAATCAGTGCCAGCTAGTCTTTAGTTGTCTGTTCTAATGCTCTGTACTTGACACTAACCCTTTAGGTATTTTTTTTCTAGTTGGTATTTTTATCAATAACTTGGAGGAATGCATGAGACATAAATTTGAAAATGATAACAAAGATAGGGGAGGGATGCTAAAACATCTCATATGGAACCAAATTGAATGGTTTCTATGGACAGAGATGATAACTCATGTGTAATAAGATAAATTTTATTATCAATAATAATTATAAATTCATGATTAACTAATTAAACAAATTTGAGATTTTAGAAAGCTTCAATACATCAGAGCACAGGAGACATGTTATGAGACAGTGCAATACAGATGTAGAAATAGACAATGAACATTTAATGCTTGTGTTATCTTAACAGAAGTGTAAGTTCATTTCAGTAGGGTTAACTAGCAATTTCTACCATAAGCTTCTGCTTAGGTTCCATTGGTACAATATGTCCAGTTCTCGGTGCTATGGACATGATTTTGTATACTAAAATGTGATTATTTTGGCAGAGAATTGGAAAGTCCAGACACAACTAAAATAGCCAAAAAGAAAAAAAAAAGGCACAAAAAGGAACTTGAAACACAAGCAGTCGAAGCAGGTACAGACAAGTGGCTGAGGCATCCTGGGCAGATAATCAGTAGCACCAGGAAAGATGTCCTAGAAGCCAAGCTGTGTGCAGTCTCAAGCAGTTTGGGCTGCTGTAACCGTAGGAAGAGACGCAGACCCTCAATTAAACTGAAGTGGAGCCCTCCTCCATATGGCTCTAAAAAGAAATTGGAAAAAAAAGGGTGAAATAGCACCCTCTGAAATATGAAATGACTCTAAGAACTAGAGCAAGGCAGGACCCCATTCCTAAAGCAATGGAACATACAGAAAAGAAAAATGAAGTGCTGCTCCTGGACATTAAATAGCAGGCAAATACGTTGATCCTGAAGAGTCAGAGTAGAGCCGATAGCAGTGCAGAGAAATCCATTCTTTTCTACAGTTTCTTAAATTCTCCTCATAGGACAGCTTTGATCCCTGATTCCTGAACAGGGCCAAGGTTACAGGTGGGTGTGATTTTTTTTATATTTGGGAAAATTAAAATTATAGAGCTGATCGAATTGCATAAATAAGTTAGTGTTCCCCACAACTCTACTGCACAATTGACACATTCCTAGTAAAACAGATTAATTGAAACCCCTCCTGTGAGTTGATCACTGTGTTAAATTCAAAGAAAGTAAAATTAAATGAAGCGAATATTTTTATATAAAATATGCACATTACCGCAGGTAATGGAGAGTCATTGATGTTTTTAAAGCAGGAAAATGATGGGCAAAGCTCTGGAAATGTTAACGAGCAGCAAAGAAGGGATTTGATTATCTGTTCACGTGGCTGCAAAATGAGGTTAAAGGAATGTTATCCAGTTGAAATATTTGTTAAAAGATATTACACACATGTAATATTTTTAACATTTTTCTTAATAAGGAAAATAGTTTATAGAATATTGCAAAGACTATTTCAAGACATTCTAATTAATTTCTCATTACATGAGTACAATAATATATTTGCTTTGCAAAAAATTCTAATAATACAGGCATCCAGTTTGGTCACATTTTATGTGAACTTCAATTATACGGATATGAAACAAAATGTATGTAAAAAATTATAAATCTCATTTCATGAGAAAAATATTAAAGCAAATAACTTCCAAATTAGAAATCATCAACAATCACCTGGTTTGAAATGAATGGATGGTAAACTACATCATTACCATGAAGTGGCACCAGAGTAACTGTGGCAAGTTGTGTCAGCACTGAATTCTTCCAACCTTGTCTCTGAAGTTACATAACTATGCATTTGCTTATAACCATATTCATAATTTGAAGCTTTCACAACAAATGAAATTATTCTATATATACTGTGTGAACCGTAACTTTCTGTCTTCAGTAAACCAAATCTGTTGGGGAATCTACCTCATTCTTTAATTGCTGTCTAATATTCCTCGGTGGAATATATTGTAATTTATTTAACAAGTCCTGCATGGATGATCATTTAATTTTTCACTAATGCAAATGATATCACTTTAAATTGAAGAATTATCTTTGTGTACATGGACAAATATGTCTGGAGTATATATATACTGCCAGTAGAAATGTTTGGCTCAAAGTAAATGAACCTTTTTAACGCTGATAAATATTGTCACATTGTCCTGTTAATAATAGCTAGAGCAGTTTATGCTCCAACCAGCATTATGTGAAAAGGCCCATGTTCCCTCATATTGACATGACTGAATATTTTCTATCTATCTTTTTCCGTGTTGTCACCTGATATTTAAATAGCTATTATAGCTAAATTTATTATTTCTTAATTAGTAATGAGGTTGCAGATACTTTAAAACTTTTAGTGAGCTTTTATGTGTTTTGCTCAATGATTTGCCTGACACATTTTCTGTTTTTTTAGCTTACTTCTGATCTTTACCCAAGTCAAGATCATTTTCTTATTTTTATTTATTTATTTATTTATTTATTTATTTATTTTTTTGAGACGGAGTTTTGCTCTTGTTACCCGGGCTGGAGTGCAATGGCGCAATCTCGGCTCACCGCAACCTCCGCCCCCTGGGTTCAGGCAATTCTCCTGCCTCAGCCTCCTGAGTAGCTGGGATTACAGGCACGCGCCACCATGCCCAGCTAATTTTTTTTTTTGTAATTTTTAGTAGAGACGGGGTTTCACCATGTTGACCAGGATGGTCTCGATCTCTTGACCTCATGATCCACCCGCCTCGGCCTCCCAAAGTGCTGGGATTACAGGCTTGAGCCACTGCGCCCGGCCTTTTATTTATTTTTTATTTAAAAAATTAGAAATGGGGTTTCACTATGCAGCTCAGGCTGGTCTCAAACACCTGGGCTCAAGCTATCCTCTTGCCCTGACCTCCCAAAGTGCTGGGATTATAGGTGTGAGCCACTGTTCCCAGACTTGTTTTCCATTTTTTGAGGGGAGAATGCTTTGTTTTTCTTCTTTTCAGAGCTTTTCATATGTTATTAAGTCATTAGATTGTTATGTTTTCTAAAAATATTTTCTTTTAATTTGTTGCTTGTCATTAAACTTCGAGAACGGTGGCTTTCATTGCAAGTGAGTTTTAATTTTTAGGTCAAACATGATAATTTTTTTCTCTTATGGTTTCTGGGTTTCGTTTTCTTTTGCTTTGCTTTGTTTTACTTTGAAAAAAATTTTTTTAAGCTATTAAAGCTATTCTCTTTTTTGTTGTAATACAATTATATGGACTTTTTTTACATTTGGTGTTTTTGTATATGTGGAATTTATGTTTTTATATATATTAAATACCTTAGCACCATGTATTGAATAGACATTTTTCCTCCTTAGTGATTTAAAGCATTACCTTTATCATGTACCAGTTTCAAATATACATGATCTGTATCTAGATAATTCTATTCTGTTATGCAGTTGACAAGAATGTTAATATTTCCCACCAATAATTGTAATGAATCATAGAATTTTGCCCACTTTACTGAAGGAGGTATGGAGATCACAGCTAAGGGATTTGCATGATGTCCTGTGACCACATCGACAAGAATCCTGGGCTGTGGAGCCCATTTTTCTTACTTAAAATTCAGTGTTTTTCCTAATCTGCTGCAAACTACAATTTGAGATCAAGAAAATAGGTCACTTTATTCTCTTCTACCTTGATTCTTTTTCAGTAACAGAGGAGTATTCAAGCTGTAGTAGGCACCCGTGCCAAAATGGGGGCACATGTATAAATGGAAGAACTAGCTTTACTTGTGCCTGCAGACATCCTTTTACTGGTGACAACTGCACTATCAAGCTGGTGGAAGAAAATGCTTTAGCTCCAGGTAAAAAAAAGTATATGCATCTCTGGATTTGCTCGTTGTCATAAGTAGAAACATGTTTTGAAAATATTTATGGATGAATATTTAAGGCTGCTTAATCGGGATCCCCTTGACAATTCCTTTTACTTTTCCGAAACTTACTAAATAATGTACCTGATTTACAAGTGGAAATGTGTTTTTGTTAGGCAAATTCTTATTCACATGCACTTGTTGAAATTTTCAATAGTGCTATATAGAGGCAGTTTATAGAAAATTCTACCCCCTCACAAACACTTTTTCTCTTGTGCCTCTTAAAAAATCATGGATGTATATATCTGACTGATAGAAACACTTTCTTCTCAAACAAGTAGTTAAGGAGAGACACCTTTGATTTATGTCTGGTATGGTCATTTAAATGAGGCTTCAATACATGCTTGGCAACACGTTTTCTGTGAAGATTAAACTAATGGTGCCATTTTGACTATGTGAGAACTATTAGAACATGCTCAAATGTATTAAGTAAAACAGGATGGCATTTTTACTTATTTAAATTCATGAGTATTGGGTGCTTTGGATTTCAAGAGTGCACCGTTTCTGATTTTTATACAGGAATATATGTGCAGCATTTAAAATATGTTAATGACTGCAAAAAATATATTTCAAATCAGTTTTTCCGTAACAATATCCTGCATAATAAAAAGTAATTTTTTTAGTCTGTCTTTAGATCTCAGCCTTTGTAACTACCGTTGGCATTAATTACACAGAAAATTGCCTTTGTCTACTTTGCTACAGTGAATATGACTTTATATGGTTTTTGCTTTAGCCTCTAGAAACTGCTTGACAAGGTGCCGGAAAAACTGTTTCTACATCATGTCAGCTTCAATTCCTGCAAGGGGCTTTAAAACATTGACATAACCATAATAATCATAGAGTGCTTTGAATTCCTTTATCTCTGGGGAGATCAAAGCAACATGCAAATGATCTTTGAGGCACTTGTGTGAGGAAGGTAGCAAATGTTATTTTTATTCTGTCCTGATTATTGGAGAAACTGAGGCACCAAGAGGCAAAACAATTTAGAGTAATTTAGCCAAGAGAAGACACAGGCATCAAGACACATACACCCTTGCTAAGTATGATGGATGGCCTTTTCTCTTCTGTTAAGACTTTTTGTAACTGAGATAAAAATGATGAAGATATAAGGAAAGACAAACTAAGATAAAACATGAAAATAAACTCCTGTCATTTTTTCCTCTAACAGATTTTTCCAAAGGATCTTACCGATATGCACCCATGGTGGCATTTTTTGCATCTCATACATATGGAATGACTACACCTGGTCCTATCCTGTTTAATAACTTGGACGTCAATTATGGAGCTTCATATACCCCAAGAACTGGAAAATTCAGAATTCCATATCTTGGAGTATATGTTTTCAAGTACACCATTGAGTCATTTAGTGCTCATATCTCTGGATTTTTAGTAGTTGATGGAATAGACAAGCTTGCATTTGAGTCTGAAAATATTGACAGTGAAATACACTGTGATAGGGTTTTAACTGGGGATGCCTTATTAGAATTAAATTATGGGCAGGAAGTCTGGCTGCGACTTGCAAAAGGAACAATTCCAGCCAAGTTTCCCCCTGTTACTACATTTAGTGGTTACTTATTATATCGTACATAAGTTAATATGAAAAACAGACTATCACCTTTATAGAGAAACAGCCAGTGTTTTTATTTATTTTTGCTTGCACATCTGCTCTGTTTTGGTTGGTCTACAGGAAATGAAAACCAACTTCTTTTTTAATATGAGTAAACCTGTATGTCTGTTTATTTTATAAAATAATTTGAATACTTTTTGAATGTCTGAATATGAAAAAGTTCTTGATCCTAAGAAAATTTAGTGGCACAGAAAACAAAGTGAATTTGTAAGCGTAATTATTCCTGTTTTTATTTCTTCATTTTAAGTCATTGCAATGTAAAGTAATATTACAAAACGGCAATCACACAATATTATCAATTATAGTTTTTTCCAATAAAATACTTAACTTTTGTTACTTCCTGTATATAAACATATAACATACATTTTCTAGATTCACAAATTCAAGTAAATTACTTGAAAAGTGAAAATGGCTTTTGTAGACTTTTATTTTTACTCTTTACTGTTGAGTTGATCAATTTTGCATAATAAGATTTTTTTTTTTTTTTGAGACAGAGTTTCACTCTTATTGCCCCGGCTGGAGTGCAGTGGCACTGCCATCTCCACCTCCTGGGTTCAAGTGATTCTGCTGCCTCAACCTCCCAAGTAGTTGGGATTACAGGCATACACCACCATGCCTGGCTAATTTTGTATTTTTAGTAGAGATGGGTTTCTCTCCACGTTGGTCAGGCTGGTCTTGAACTCCTGACCTCAGGTGATCTGCCCACCTTGGCCTCCCAAAGTGCTGGGATTACAGGTGTTAGCCACCATGCCCGGCAAAGATTTTCATTCAGAGTCAAAATTAAGAAAGTTGAATTGAAAACTTGATATATGCTTAACTATTGTTCTCTTCCTATAATTCTCTAATTATAACATAGTAATTGACATGTAGTTGGACATGTACACTCAAGTCTAAGAATATATGAATGGATCATTCCCCTCCCCCGCCACAATATCTATATAGGGAGAAAAAGTCTTTTTCTAGTAAGTATTCTTCTATGACAGTACCTGCCCTTCTTCTTCTAAAGGGTAAGTCATAATCTGTGTGCTACAATTTATGGGATGCTGACTATGCCCTGTTTCTTTTGTACATGTTATGTCTCATTCCTCACAATAACCCTTGTAAAGTGGGCATGATTACCATGATTTTTAGAGATGAAGAACCTAGGACACAGAGACCAAGGCCCATGAGCTGATAGGGCTAAGACAGGGTTTGGAATCAGGCCATGTCTTCTCCAGAGCCCACATTCATCCTTTCTCTATATTGCCTCATACAGATAATGCTAAATTTTATTTAACTAATCTTTTATCCATGGGCATTTGTGTTGTCTCCCATTTTTTATTATTACAATATTACTGTAGTGAACATGCTTAAAAGTACATTCCTTAGATATTTGACAAAATGTTTCTGGGAAGAACAGATTTTCATGAGTAATAATAAAAATAATAATTAAAAAAGTTTTGGTATGGCAAGTCTTTTTTATGAATGGATTTATTTAATGATCACAAAAACATAATGAATTACATATTAACCTATGAAATTTGTACTACATATTATTACTCATATACATATATCAGAAGCACATATAAGTCAAGTAATTTTCCCAGTAGTATAGCCAATCATGGAGAATTTCTGGACAAAGGATGAAGACAGTTTTCCATTTTGATAAATACAACCAATCTATAGTCTTATCGATATAAAAAACTGCTCTTATATCCCACACATCCTCATCAAAATTAGCAATTTTTGAAATACTTCTAGTCTTGAAGTTGAAAGTAGTAACTTCTATTTATAGCATATACTTGAAAATGGTTCAAATTTGCCAAAACTTGAAAGCATACATCTATACAAAGACTTGTACATAAATGTTCATAGTCATTTTATTTGAATAGCTGAAAAGTGGGAATCACCCACATGTCCAGCAACAGACAAATGGTTAAGCAAAATTGCACATATACGCACAATAGAGTACAGCACCTGTGAATTTCATAATAATTATGCAGAATATTTAAAAATGCAGTCTAACAAACTTGGTTAACTCTGCAAGGAGGAGCTCTAAAGTAAGTATTGTCCATTAGAATGTACTGTGTTGAGTCAAAATAATCAGGCCAAAATCTTTGGCCAAATGACTCAAGCTCCTTGGGAGTTGGGTAGGCTGTGAAGTCTCCTCTCAAACCAGTTTTGGTAACCCAGGTCACACTTGTTCAAGAGCTCCTAAAAATAAGACTTGCAGTTTGGCTGGAGTTATCCCAGTGCTCAGGTACTGAGGGAATGTGTTCTCTTTCTAGGTCCGCAGTTCATACTCTAGCCTCACTCAGTACTAGATTCAGGCTGCCAAAGGAGAGTGTGATCTAAGAGCTGAAACAGACAGCTGGATGCATTAGTCCATCCTTGCATTGCTATAAAGAACTACCTGAGACTGGGAAATTTATGAAGAGAAGAGGTTTAATTGACTCACATTTCCACATGCTGTACAGAAAGCATGGCTGGGGAGGCCTCAGGAAACTTATAATCATGGCCGAAGGTGAAGGGGAAGTAGGCATGTTTATATGGCTGGAGAAGGAGGAAAGGGGGACAGTGGGAGGTGCCACATACTTTTAAACAACAAGATCTCACAAGAATTCACTCACCATCAGGAGAGTAGAAAGGGGGAAGTCTACCCCCATGGTCAATCACCTTCCACCAGGCCCCTCCTTCAACAATAGGGATTATAATTTGATATGATATTTGGGTTGGGACACAAATTCAAACCGCATCACTGAATGACTGACAATTTTTATCCTGTTATGTGTAAACATGCCATTTTCAAAAACATTTTAAAAAGTTCTTATATCTTCAGTCCTTGCCTAAAAATGTCCTATAATCTAAATTTTTAAAATTTTATTTATTCAAGTTCTCACAGATTAAAATATAGTTTTTTCTTTCCAAATAAACTTTTCACCATAGATTTAGGTGATTTCATTATATTGTTTTTCTTTACTATTATCGGAACAAAAGGAAGTAAATCATTTGACAATGTTCATCATTGCAATGTCCAACATAATTTGATTTTTAATTAGATAATAACATTTAGCATTAAATAATACTTTGGTGCTTAGAAATATAATTGTTAATATTATTCTTTTTTCTTAAATGAATTTGGAGAATATACAATTAAGTAACAAATTGCCACGAATAGCCAAGAGACATTATAGCAACTTTTAAGTTGCTATAAACTTGCTTGGCTATATTTTTGAAGCCACTCAATATAAATCAGAGAGAATTTAGTATTGTCTTTTTAATTGATATCTTCAAACTTATACATGTAGAAAAAGTATAGCACTGGAACTTTTCTTGATTTCATCTATGGAGATAGACAAGTGCCTTGAATATTATTTTGCAGATTCAATTTCAGAGGCTCTCTCTCTCACAATATCTTCCTGTCCCACCGCTCCTAAAGTACACTAAGTCACTAATGAAAATCGCAAATCCATTCATTTATTAATATTTAATAAGTACCTAATTATATACCTAATTGTAGGTACATAATATAGGAGGCATGATAAGTAAATTACACATAGCAAATAACAAAAAATGAACAAAGTATATATAATTTATATATATACTTACTTATATGTATAAGTAAATATATATAATTATATATATTTATTTATATATATTATATATAACATATATATAAGTAAATATGTAATACATATAATATAATTATATATTATATATAATGTATATATATAAGTAAATATATATAATATATATGTTATATATTATATTATATATGTAAATATATATTATGTATAATTTATTATATATATTTAATATATATAAGTAAAGTATATGTATAAATTATATTTATATAAATATATAAAGTATGAAAAAATGTTGCATTTGAAATACATAATCCAGGATCATGATGTCATTTACTACCACCAGATTCATAGATGACTCTGTAAGAATGAGAAATTTATATATTTAATAGCCACCTGCTTCTTTTTTTTTTTCACTGCTGATCAATCTTCTACTACCTCCTTTTGGACCATTCCAGGAATAGAGAGACTTCATATTCAAAGCCATGAGTGCCTACAATTGTTTTTTTATTTTATTTTTGAGACGGAGACTCATTTTGTTGCCCAGGCTGGAGTTCGGTGGTTTAATCTTGGCTCACTGCAACCTCTGCTTCGTGGGTCAGAGCAATTCTCCTGCCTCAGACTCCTGAGTAACTGGGATTACATATGAGCGCCACCATGCTAGGCTAATTCTTTTATTTTTAGTAGAAACCGCATTTTACCATGTTGGCCAGGCTGGTCTTGAGCTCCTGACCTCAGGTGATCCACCCACTTCAGCCTCCCAGAGTGCTGGCATTATAGGCTTGAGCCACTGCTCCCAGCCTACAATTATTCTTTCTTACTCTTTTCACCAGTCAAACTCTCAATTTGGAAGAATAAACTAATATTGGTTAGTTATTAAGAAATGATTAAAATAAGCCATTCTGATTTTCAGTTGGCTTGTTTTTTAGTGCACATAGAGATAATTTTTTGGTGGTTGGTCATGTTTCAAAATATAAATTTACTAATTCATGTTGGAAAGCTCGTAAGTCATATTAGTATTTGTCTTCCTCAAAGGTTATTTTCAATGTAGCAAAATTTTTCTCATTATTCAAAATTTTGTCTATCATTCATCATTGCAAGGCACCTGTGGGATACATTAAAGCAAAAATATAGGCCTGCCCTTCCTACAGTGTACAATTTAGTTGGGTTTCTCTCCTATGTGGAAGGCAGGGATGTTTGCTTATTTCCTGTCCCCATGATTTCAAACCGAGGGTTTTGTCAACAGGCTGGGGAGTGTTATTAAGAAGCTTCCCTTGAGTGCTTTTACCACAGCTCAGTGAGAATTCTCAATGAGCTATACTGCATTTGTGTTCAGAGAAAACAACAGTAAAGTAGTATTTATTTCTCTGGGCTGACATCCTAATTATACAATCTAAAACTCTGGAAAAAGTCCAAATTTTGGAGTTTTTATTATATTATGAATTGCTTCATAAACTTTTAAAGCCAAGGCTTTAGTCAAAACACTTTCAGATTCCAACTATTTAAGTTAGCTTGGGTTGACACGACAAAATTCCATAGTCTGGGTGGCTTAAACAACAGATATTATCTCACAGTTCTTAAGGTTGACAAGTTCAAGATCAAGGTGCCAGCAGATTTGGTGTCTCTAGTGAGGTCCCTTTTCCTCGCTTATACAGGGCAAAAGGCTGCCTTCTCACTGTGTCTTCACATGTGGAGAAAGAGGGGACGAAAGAGCGAGAGTGGGAGAGGGAGAGGAAGAAGGAGCATGAGAAAGTGGAGAGCACTTGAGTCTTCTGGTCTGTCTCTTCCTTCTTTTAAAGACACTAATCCCGTCACAGAGCCCACCTCATGACCTCATCTAAACCTAATTAACTCCCAAAACCCCGCCTCCAAATACCATCACATTATATATTAGAGCTTCAACATAAAAATTTGAAGGAAGGAGGGAACACAAACATGGTGTGCAGTACCAAGTGTTGAATGTAGTAATATTTAGAAAGGTGTTTTAAAATGTTCTTTGGATGCTTTTAAAATATCAGTTTATAGTAGATCCTAGTTGTAATATAATTTTCTATCAAACATTTATATCAAGCCCATTGAAGATAACAGTTGATGTTTTTTTCAACGTATTATTTGGATTCAATATTTATTTGGATTTTCTTTTTTTGATTTATACTAATAATCATATATATCTACTAAAGTTAATAGTGAAAATAGTACATGATGCAACCCGTGGAATGGGTGTTCTTATAAATACACCTGTACTCTCCTAATTTCAAGCCACTGATAAAGAAATTGACTTATTGAATTCCTCTTACCAGAATACAGGCGATTGTGGATAGTTTCCATTATTTTTATAATTTACTTCCCCTCATTTATGTTTGCTGCCACTATCATCTTTAAAATGTGTAATTATGCTTAATATATATAAAGAGAACCACGTGTATTTTTTATCGATATGAAATTTGTGGATTAAGGATGACAGTAATTTACCAAACAGTATATGTAGGAAAAATACATTTATTTGTGCTTCCAAAGCCTTTCTAAAGGCAATTTAAGGTAATTTGCATTGAGAAAAATATTAAACTTATACAAAGAGATTTAGTTGCTATTTATATATCAAATATATCTCAAAAACATGGTCGTTCCTTATCCTAACTTCTTAGGTATATTCATATGCATTAATTTTTATGATTTGTCATAAAGTAACCTTGTTATTAACAAAAAATAAACCTACAAAGATTCCTCCCACAGTCTCAAACCCTTTTTCAGTTCTCTACCCTTTTGCTGACCTCACCATCGTAGCTTTTCTATTTTATCGAGTATATTTAGATGTCTTTATTCCAGCTGAAGAGGAAGCTAAATAGTGTAGAACTTGTTCTGCAGATGAAACTCGAAGACCCTCC